TAGACCATCCAAGTGTGTTCTGGGTGCAACATCAGTAGAATTCCTGGGTCATGAAATTGGACACAATTGGGTGAGTCCGAGTCACGACAACATGGAAAATTCGAGAAGCGCAAAGACCAGCGACCAAGAAAGGTGTCCGATCATTCTTTGGGCTGGTCAATTACTACAGAGACCACATCCCCTTATTCGCAACTATTGCAGCACCCCTGAGTGACCTACTAAGGAAAGGACAACCCAACAAAGTTGTATGGGGGGCCCAGGAGAAAGCATATAACACTTTGCGGGAATACTTATTGGGCAAACCAATTCTGAAGTTGCCAGACCCACAGAAACCATTTGTGTTGCGGACAGACGCGTCTCAGGTAGGAATTGGAGCAGTACTTATGCAGAATCACAGTGAGAGGTTTCATCCAGTTGCTTATGCAAGTAAGAAGTTATGCGATGCAGAAAAGAAATATTCAACTGTAGAAAGGGAATGTTTGGCCATTGTATGGGGCGTGAATAATTATTTAGCCGGTGTGGAGTTCATTTTACAGACGGATCATAAACCATTGTCTTACCTGGATAAAGCCAAGTTTGCAAATGACCGAGTGATGAGATGGGCGATGACTCTTCAAGGATATAGTTATCGTGTTGAGGATATTCCTGGACGGAACAATGTGGTAGCGGACTACCTGAGAAGATTGATGGACTGAGGAACTTTTGAACAGTATAGTAGAATGTTATTCGTTTATGACTATATTTCATATTTTATTATATTCCACTGTATGTGAATTTCGAATTAATGTATTCAGAGCTTTATTCAGTTCGATTTGATATATTGTATTGTTGTTTTATTTGAAATTGTTATCGTATTCGTATTATTGACGTCGTTGCTAGTCATGTAGTATTATATGTTATAATATTCTTGAGAGGGGAGGCATGTCGCATATACAACTTATTTACCACTTCCGTGTCACTGAGAATGTTCTAGAACTGTACTGTGTCTGGGTGGAATATTCTAGATTTTTTTAGAAACTGGTTGAATAGGTAATAGAACACTGTAGGAGGCAATAGAAGGTAATGGAACATTCTAGAAATTTGTAGTAAATTCCAGACTCATTATGTATGCTGATGTAATGGTCTATTTATAGACAGTGTGGGTATATATAGGAGAGTTGTTCAGCACTGAGATCAGATCTCGTTGAATTGTATCTAGTTATTGGAGTAGTGGAATTTTACCGCGTTATTGTACTTGATGTTTGCAGAGTATAATAATACCAGTACCAGTTGAAACCTCATCTGTTGGCTCCGTGTTCGTATTTTATCATCGTCGCCAGGGAAGTCTTTCTGTTACTGTTGCCATTTTGGTATTTGAACCATCACACCTGTACTATACAAATTACGGTAATATTACGTTGCGTGTGACAGAGTCCTACATCGAACAGAACGCGGCACGACGACCATCTCCCTTCATGTATGCATATATTTGCGACATACTATAGTTTCGGTAATTTAATCAGTGCCGAATAAATAATAGCAAATATTAATACATACTAGACCAGTAACATTCGAGTTAAATTTGGTTATTAATTCAAGTTACTAATCAAGGATGTGAAACCAAAGTGTTGATATTATAGTATTAGGTAGATTGGCACAGTCTGGGCGATTGATTTTTTTTTTTTTAATTTAAAATTAAATTAAAAAAATAGCGAAATGGAGGTGTTAACGCGAAATCCCCTGTAACCGCGAAATGGTGGTTTCGCGTTCACCCCACCTTTTGCAAAACTATTTATTCCAGCTGGGCCAGTCTAAGTATGAGGTAAAGGTAGTACGTTTCAAACTTCCTGAAACCGCGTCGTCGTGTCGAACAAATTCTACATTGATATGCATATGAATGAATGAAAGAATGAGAGTATTGTCCAGAGCCGAACGTCCTATTAGAGTGCGCCCCTTACGTTGAAATGTCGGAGTAGTTTGTAAGGTCTCGTCGTCTACGATACCTCAGTCCGTGATTTCATCTTTCTCTTTTCTCGGTCGTGGCTTAGGCCATAGTGTTATACCAACATGAAGGTAAATAATCACGTTGTTTCAAATAAATCCGCGACGAAGTAAAGAAAAAAATTATTCAGATATTATCTACAGTATCTCAACTATCATTCGGTCCCTACGTTGTAGTCTTAACTGTGATATGTGTGCAGGATGACAAGGATTGTTTTGAGTGAACCACGCTTGGCTGTGAACACAACATGGCGACGTCCATGAAAAGTAGAGGGCTTACCTCACGATTACACATTCCGTTGAGTGAATAGTGTAGAAAGTGTGTTCCTTAATGTCAAAATATGTTTTGAATATATATATCTTTTTCAACAAATAACAGGTCAACGTAAGCTTTCCGGCGACTGGATGTCAAAAAATGATTGAAGTGGACGATGAACGAAAACTTCGGCCTTTCTATGAAAAACGTATGAGCCAAGAAGTGTCTGCTGAACCATTAGGCGATGAGTGGAAGGTAAATTAACACTTTTGGTAAATGTGTTTTTACCATTAGGGTTTGCCGTCTTTTTTTATTCACATGGATGAGTTGTTGGCAACAAGATTGAGAGGGGAACCATGGTCAGATGCCATATTGATTAGTTTTGTTGATCTGAGAGTAGTTAAATCTCTTGTCCTTGTTCTATGATTTAGTGAGCTCTGTGCAATTTTTCAATTAATTTAGTCCATAGCAGTAGTCATTTAAAATAAGTGATATTTGCAATATCCACATTACACCATAAACACAACTTGAGATGGTTGTTCCTATTGATGTCTAAAACACGCCAAACTGTTAACATTTTTGTATATCAGAATTTATACAAGAGAAACCCTTATTACACTCACAAGACAGAGCTATGTCACAATCAACAAACATTGCCAGGATCAATCACAAACAAGGCAATTGGTTGTGTGGATTAACATCTTAGTTTTTTCCCCAAAGCTAATGAAAAAAGTTACTTGTCTTCTACTGACACCCTGTTCTGGTCAATCAGAATTGAGCAATATGTATATACAGTAAACTTTAAATTGCTAATCAGTATATAGCCTAAACCTTACTTATTGAAAATCTTCCAGAATACTGTGGAATACTTTATTTTCGCTGAAAAGACTTTTTGGGCGTTTTGTTTTGAATTTATTTTCACTGATTTTTGATAAGGTGAATGTGAAATTTAGGGGAAAAAGTATATTCGCTGGATTTTATTTTCAAGTATTTTGATGTGATGGTGCACAGTCATCTAATCATTTTATGTTTTCATTGGATGTTCCCAAATTTTACCAAGATGTACATTTCTTTAAATAATTAAAAATTTTAATTCTTCAATTTTAGGGATATCTGGTGAGGATAAGTGGAGGGAATGACAAACAAGGATTTCCAATGAAGCAGGGTGTACTGACAAATGGACGTGTCCGTCTGTTGTTGTCAAAAGGTCATTCCTGTTTCCGCCCCCGTCGTACGGGAGAACGTAGACGCAAGTCTGTGCGTGGATGTATTGTTGATTCCAATCTCAGTGTGTTGAATCTCGTTATCTTGAAGAAAGGTGAGTGTCCATTTTTTTATCTGCCAATATTTGGATTCTGCCGCAAATTCGCCCAGGGCCGTTGAGTGACAATTTAGGGTTTTAAAAAAAATAAAATGGGACCAAGAAAAACTGCCCATTCTTTTAAGGTGTTATTTTAATCTTTTCTGATGCCTAAAAGTTTCACCATAGTAATTGACACCTATTCAAGAGTATGGGTTAGCTTAGTTTCGACAATGAGCTGTTATCGCTGTAAACAGTGTTAAATTATTCTTCAAATGCTAAGTTTATCTTTTGAAAACAACTAATATTTGAAAATATAAACCCCCCTAAAAATATTTGATAATTTTTTGAAAATAAGGGCCTACCAGCCATGAAACTGCCCAGGACGATTTTTCCGATGAGCAAATTTACGGCAGAATCCGGTAACATGCCATCATACAAGTTTTCCCAAAACTCAATTTAGTGTTGCTGTCCAGTCAAATTTTATCTGCTAAAAAAATTCATGATCATTAAAGTGGCAATATCTGTGATTTTTGTTTTAAATTTAGTGTTTGGATGCAATCAGTAAATGAGTACTTATGGATTGACCTCTGTGCATCACGATCTTATCTTAGACCTATTACATTCAAACTTCACACATACATCATACATAATATTATACATATGCACATCAATTTGTTTCCTGATCTGATTCAAGATGGCCAAATAACAGCCATTTTTGTACTGAAAAATCGAGCAAAATCATCAAAATTCTCAACTGTATACAGATGTCCTTTGTTCAAACTTGGTGCATACATTGGACATTATGAGACGGTGTTGCATGTCATTTTTAGGGATTGCGTTAACGCGGAATTACGCGTCCGGGAAGCATAGTTTTTCTGTGGGACGCATGAATTTTTCAACTGGTGAGTCCCTGGGATGCATCCGGTGAGCACACGTCTCGGTC